ATTCAAAATAAAGCATCATAATTCCACTACTTATCGCCCAAATATGAATGGAGCAGTTGAGGCAGCTAATAAGAATATCAAGAGGCTTATAGAGAAGATGACTAAAACTTATAAGGATTGGCATGAGAAACTACCATTTGCTTTGTTGGCTTATAGAACTTCAGTACGAACATCGACTAGGGCAACTCCGTTTTTGTTAGCTTATGGAATGGAAGTTGTCCTACCTATTGAGGTAGAAATTCCTCCACTTCGAGTTTTATCAGAGGTAAAACTAAATGAAGAAGAATGGGTACAAGCCAGATATGACCAGTTAAATTTGATTGAAGGAAAAAGACTGAAAGCTATTTGTCATGGTCAGATGTACCAAAAACGGATGATACTAGCACATGATAAGAAAGTTCGCTTCTGAGAATTTTATGAAGGAGATCTAGTACTTAGAAGGATCTTACCCATTCAAAAGGACTTCCGAGGAAAATGGATGCCGAATTGGGAAGGACCTTATATTGTAAAGAAAGCCTTTTCTTGAGGAGCTTTGATTCTTACTGAGATGGACGGGCCAGAATTACCCTACCCAGTGAATTCAGATGCGGTTAAAAGATATTTTGCCTGATTGAAAAAAGAAGGGTTCAAGATAAAAATCTGAAAAGGATATCTTAAAACCAAAGGAGGTCTCAAGTTGAAAACCCGTAAAGGGCGGCTTGAGTGTTATAATTCAGGATTCATGTCTGGAAAAATATTAGATTCTTAACTTCTGGAGATTTGGTAGTCAAGAAGAGACTTTACATCCTTATACATTATTACAATTCTCGAAATCCTTTTGACAGAAGCTATATTTGAATTACTTTACGGCATGCCAGTTCATAAATATTTATGTTATTGATATGTGAAGATGCCTACTACTTTTTCTTTTACATTTCAGTAAAAGTTTGCCATGTAATTATTTAAAAACTCTTTACATTTGTATAAATAAAAGAGATTTTTCTTGATAACTCTCATTTTTGCAAGCATTTTGCTTTGAAAGTTTAAAATATGTAATTTAACTTGAAGTACATAAAATCATGGTGTATTATTGTACAAAAAGTTCTTTTAAAAAATGCAAGTTTTCTGAAATTGATAATGATTTCAATTTTCAAGTTTGTATAATGACATTGATACATGGAAAATAAAATTTGAAGTACCTAGAAAGTTTCAATCATATGATGATCCAAAATATGTGTCACATATGGAATAGTTGATCATTGGTACTGGCAAGGTTCAAGAAGAAAGAAAAGACTATATCTGATTAAAGAGTATGAGATCAAGATGTTCAGTTGAAGAAAATCGGCATTGTTTGTTGTACCCAAAATGAAACGAGTCACAAGATGGTCAATGAGAGAGAGTCCTTATTCGGAAAAAAATACACTAAAATTGCATCATTGCATACATTTTAGGCATAAATAGGATCATGATATTCATAAACGCATCATTTGTTGATATTTTAAGAAACAAAAATCCTTAGATAACCAGAAGTTCTCATCACGAAGGAACTATGTTATCTCAAAGATAACCAGATGTCCTTATCACGAAGGAACAATGTCATCTACCAATCAGAACTCCTCATCACAAAGGAGTCGTGTTATCCTGAGATAACCAGACGCCCTCATCACGAAGGAACTATGTTATCTCAAAGATGACCAGATGTCCTCATCACGAAGGAACAATGTCATCTACCAATCAGAACTCCTCATCACGAAGGAGTCGGGTCATCCTTAGATAACCAGACGTCCTCATCACGAAGGAACCATGTTAGTTCAAATATTTTCAAAGATGGCCAGATGTCCTCATCACGAAGGAACAATGTCATCTACCAATCATAACTCCTCATCACGAAGGAGTCGTGTCATCCTTAGATAATCAGACGTCCTCATCTCAAATATCTTCAAAGATGACCAGATGTCCTCATCACGAAAGAACAATATCATCTACCAATCAGAACTCCTCATCACGAAAGAGTCGTGTCATTCTTTGATAGCCAAAAGTCCTTATCACAAAGGAAACATGTTATCTCAATTTATCTCTAAACATGACCAAATGTTCTCATCATGAAGGAACAATGTCTTACACCAGTTTGATTCCCCTTAAATGAAGCGGATTTCTTATCAAAGCATGAAGTCAACTGGACGAAAATTCTGTCTTTTATCTTTGCTCTATTCTTGTTAACACAAAAATGAGCAAAGAGGGGCAGCTGTCGACAATCATTTTCTGTCCCGTCTTTTTTATGTTATTAAAATAAATTTTATTATAATAATTATTTATAAATCAAGACCCAGAAGCCCGTTTTTAAATTTTAAACCGATCCAGGCCCAAAAATAGAATCTATCAGGCCTAAGACTCGTTTAGGGTTTTCTGCTAGGATTTTCTACACAGTTCCAGCCGCCATCATCTACAACCGTTAGATCTAGAGAGATCAAACTGCCTAGATTTGTACAACAGAAACCCTAGGGTTTCACCAACCTTAGGAGATATTTCGGTCGCCGCCTCCAAGTGGTTCATTCCGACGTTGCCATGCCACCACCGTCACACAGAAGACTCCAGAAGATATAAATCAGCCGCACACCTCACTCCCTATGGTGAGCCACCATTGTAGATCCGATGACTCAATAAAATAAACGGTCGTCCGAGGTCTTCCGAGGGCTATAAAAAGCCTCGATCTTGTAAGAAAAAAAGAGTAGGAGGGGATTCATACGAAAGGAGAAAGCATTCATACAAGAAGTAGGACACCAACTGAAAAAACAACGAGAAAGAAGAGGAGTAACTTACCCTTGAAAAGACCAAAAGCCGCTGGATACTTTTGTAAACTGAGGTAAAAATTTCGGTTATTGCTTAGATCTACTAATTTTGAGTGGTTTTTAGGACTAAAATATGTTAGATCTGAGTTTTGATGGAAAATAGGGCCATTTTGGAGTAAGTTTGTAAATTTCAGCCACCGTGGGTGGTGGCCGGCAGTGGTGATTGACGACGGCAGGAGGCTGCCGGTCGGTGATCAGACTCTCTCTGATGGGAGATTTTTAGAGAGAGGCGAGATAGAAATTTTGTTTATTTCTCTTAGAGAGAGAAACAGAAATGAGAGAAATGTTGGTCTTTAGGGTCATATTTTGGTATAAAAATATTCCTCTCCAAACGACGTCGTTTGGAGAAAGGGGTATTTACGTAATTTAAGTCACGGGTAAACTATGTCCGCAATACTTGAGATTTTATAAATTTCTATATTAGTTATTGAAATCATATTTTATGCATTTTAATTCGAATCTATAATTTTATTTTATTTATTTTTAGTCACTTAATCATGCACATATATATATTTAGGGTAAAAAATTAAATTAAATTTAAATTTATAAATTTTCTGCAAATACATTAATTAATAAATAAATGTATTAATTTTGGGCGTTGTGGGGTGCTAATCCTTCCCCACACGTAATCGATTCCCGAACTCATTTTTTGATAAGCAGACTCTTTTTGTGTTATTTTAATAATATTTTTATAAATTTTATTAAAATAACATAGTATTTTGGTGACCAATCACACTTCGATAAATAATTAGTGGCGACTCCTCAAATTTATGTTTTATCTTATACCATAAAAAAATACTTACTTTTTCGAGATAATATTTAGAAAATAACAACACTTATTTTCGTCGGATAAAATATTGTCTCGACAATAACACTCTGGAATAATAACAAGTAGTGTAAATTCTTCCATTTTTACCCATTAATCCTATAAATACATTCCAGACATCTGTTGCATCGGCCAATTAGAAGGGTTTTTATGTTCTCTTTCTATCTTGAATTTTTCTTATTTTCCATTGAACACTTTTTCTTCTAGTTGTTTTGTTGCTCAGAAGATGGAGGAAATGAAAGAAAACGAAAATTGCACATCAACTTCCATTGCCAACTATTGTTTGTTTACCCTTGTTTTGGCCTTTCAATGCTACAAGTGTTTTTGTCCTTGTGTGTGTGTTTTAAAGTTTCCTTTCTGGTTTCTGGTTTTTTTTTTATTCTGCTTTAAAGAGAGAGCTTGATGGGATTAGATTCAAATCGTGGTCGCGTTTTCGATTATGTCGCGATTACCGCTATTGCAGCCATAACAGACATTATTGCGGGTATAACGAGTATATAGAAAGGCAGCACTACCGCTATTTCACGGGCGCTATCGCGATCGTGGACCGCTATTTAAAACCCTGGGCCTAGAGCAAGTGGTGGAGCAGATTTCTGAAACGGGAAGGGAGAGCTCCTGTGTTTTTGAAAGTCGATTGGGATCGATGGGTCGATAAAGATGAGGAGATGAGGAGGATCAGGACACTAAGCGTAAGAACTATTCCCTCGGTTCTTGTATGCTTTATTTTCATGAAGGGGTTCATTTCTTTCAGTTCGACTCACCGTGGTTTTCTGTTGCCAGCCGGACCTGATATGAACTTTGGTGACTTTGACTTTTTTATTAGTGACAATGTTACCACCTAATATTTAACGACTAGTATTGTCTAAATTGTACTCGACACCGTTTGCTTCTATTTCCTTCTTGTTATGGTGAAGGCCTTGGTGCGGCGGAAGGTGAGTACGTGAATTTGCTGTCGGGATCTTGAGTTTGTTGATCTTGATGCGTTCTTGCAGATGATGACAGTGATACAGAAGATGAAAATGTGGAAGAAATATCAGCTTTGAAGAAAGATGATTCATCGTCCGGTGCTGAACCTGAAGTCAAAAGCGTTCCGAGCCAAAGGAAGTCGTATATTTAGCCGAGTCGAATGCTTTAAGCTACATAACAATATTATTTTTGCTTCAATTTATTTTTTTTCGTTTCTTGAACACCCTTTTTAGTGGATATTGAGTGGGTTTTTTTTTGGCTGGCGAAGGAATAATTTTCAAGTACGAGGTTTTAATTGTGAGATGTTGCCTAAAACGATGGTTATTTGTAGGTGGAGATGTAATTAACCAAAAAAACAAAAACACATCAACATGAATATGAACATGAACATATCATGTATTGTTATGAAAGCAGAGTCGAAATAAGTCGACCATACATGAAGTCATTTGTATGATATCCCGTACACAGCATATTCTGAGGTCACTCTAGAAAGCAAACATGACACGAACTTCAACTTCTTATGGCATTAAACCCACATCAACTGGTAGGCAATCTCATCTGCACCACCTCATTAGAGGGCCGTAAATTGCAAACCATCTCTCTCGTCTTTCCGAAGTAAACCTGCAAAATATGTAAATATTTTGAATTGTAGTACAGAACTCAAAACTATCAATGTTGAAACATGCAAAAGCCAGTTCAGAGAAAGTAGTAGACGTACCTGATCCAATGAGTTCCGGAGCTTACCCTCCATTTCTTCTATCATCTTTCCCATGTTAGAAAGATGACCATCGGCAACTGGGAGGTTCATGTTCATCTACAAACAAAAATGATTAAAGGTGAAAAGGGTCGTTTAGACCTTAATTGGAACTTCACATTTGAGTGCATAAACAACATGTTCATCTACAAACAAAAATGATTAAAGGTGAAAAGGGTCGTTTAGACCTTAACTGGAACTTCACATTTGAGTGCATAAACAAGGGAAGGGCGATATGCCATAGGGTAAGTGTAATGTAAATACATAACTAAACAATATCTGCTCAGTCCATAACACATCAGTATCAAACAGTACAAACCGAATGGGACACCATGTTTTAAGACTCAAGTAAAAAGGGACTCGATGAAACTCCAAAGATGGCCTTAAAACGTCATATGAGACATGAAACTGAAGGGATAGCATTTGATGTAAGATTGATTTGCTGCTGACATGGTTCACTAACAGCTCAAACAGGGAGTCCCGACTGAAAGAATTCAAATTCAGATATTTAACTTTACAAATGCAATTCACAAACAAGTTTTTATCTAAGTTTATTGCACTGGAGTTATGTTTATCTGACTCCTTACTTTTGTTGAAATACCCATATTCAACTTGTGTCCAAGTCCAACTATACCCATATTTGACATTACACCCAACTTGTGTCTAACCAATCATCGATTGTGATGTCCAAGATCATCAATGCAATGGCACTTGGGGATCAAGAAATTCCTAAACCTGTTTCCACATCCCAGTGTTTCCAAAATTGAATAGAAAGTATCTATGGAGTACAAACCACTTTCAGTGAACATAGAGGTGCATTCTCCAACAGTTTATTTGCTTTCCACTAGGTGTAAGCTTAAATTCTTTCTTCATGTTATTAGAAAATCCCACAAATTACCTGTCGTCTGATAGATCCAGACAAACTGAAAGTGCCTGATGACACATCATCTGTAGTCAAAGACAGCATGACTGTACTAGTCAAGCAATATCGGGTTAATTCTTCTTCTGGTCCAACCTAAATAAAGGTTAGAGTGCAACATTAGCATGATAATGCAGAATAAAGTAACGAACTTACTGTCCATAGAGGAATAAATAGTAAACAGATAATAAGAAGAAGAGAAGGGAAAAGAGAGGCCTGAGATAAAAATGGAAGTTCTACATCCCTAATTGTATAAAGCAATTGAATTCACCTCTATAACGTGAATAGCATCCCAAGTTCCCTCCTCTAAATAGCCTCTTCTCCCTTGCCCAGTTTTTGAGCCATCTTTTTCCAAAAGTCAAGGATAGCAAATCAGAAGAACTAACAATGGTTACTGGTTTCATTTGGGATAGAATCAATCTGCTTTTTCATTTGGGATAGAATCAATCTGCTTACCTTTCTTTACCAAAAAGCAGACTACAAAACCTTCGTTTTCATCTTCCCACATGTAGACAGATGAGATGCCACCTTCATAATACCTATTGTATAATTAGTTAAGCATAAATAAATACATAATAATAAGCAAATATTGCATAAAAATAAACCCAATATCCATTTCCAACCACTAGCAAATTAATAAAGAAAGCATGACATAAGCAAGAACCTCACTGGTCACAATAGACTGTAAAGATATCGTTGGCTTCAATTTCCAATTGCCTCAACTTTGAAGATGGATAAGGCGCATCTTCTAATGGTGGATGGTATTTGTTTGACCAAGGTGATCTGCAAACAGTACAATTGCACAAAACAAGTAAAGGGTTAAGTCACAAAGATGAATTATAATTGAAAAGTGCTACTCTGCAAGTGAAAAGAGATTCAATGTAACTCAAAAGATGGCCATAAAGCATCATATGAGACATGAAACTGAAGGAATATCATTTGATGTAATGTAAGATTGATTTGCTGCTGACATGGTTCACTAACAGCTCAAACAGGGAGTACTGACTGAAAGAACTCAAGCTATGGAGCTAGCATTTGTGTTTAGGTTTGAGCATATCATATGTGCAAATTCATTTCATATAGATAATTAACATGCAAATACACACACGGGAGAGAAATCACTGTGGCATACTTCTAATATTTCATAATGTTCATTCAACATCAAGGTAATACGTGCAGTTTTCTGGATTATATTTGCAAGCTTCTTCCACCATAAAAACTTTACGATAGTTATACTATAAACATTTTGGAGGAAAATTCCCAGGAGTGGCCAACATCTATTAAAAGTGTACAGTGCTATGGATTATAGGTGCATGCTTTTATAAACATTTAGGGACAGACCCCGCATAGGTAACCATCTGTAGTCCTCACCAAATTCAAATCTACAAATTAAGAAACAATAAAAAATAAAACCTCAAAAAACATAATCATTATCATTTAGACAAGATAAATGAGGAGAAGGGACCTTACTTTTCATTATTTTAAATCCGAATAAAATTCAAACAGGCAAGAACACAAAAACAACTTACAAGGGCTTGGCTACAATAGGAGAGGGAAAATTAAGTTCAGGGTATATAATCTATATACTGATATACTAATCAGAAAAAGCAACCTGTGAGAATCAGCGTCTCTGTTGTATTCACACAAAATGAACTTCTGTCCACTGTCCTCATCAGATAAAACCTGTTTCAAAGGAAAATATGAAAATCTAATCAACTTATTAATCCAAATTAAGGGAACAAAACGTAATTGTTGTAATATGTTTGATATCGCACAAAAACTTCTCTTGTAACAAAACCTATAGATCAGTAAATAAGATTGCATGTAATGTAACAAGTTGGCATGAGGACACTCAATACCACAAAATCAAGTACTAGCAAAGGGAAATTGAAATTGTCCAGTAAAGGGCTGATTATATATGATATGAAACTAAAACAACAACAACCTATGATATTTGATTTGAGAACAGTGAAAAAAGAAAGTTGACAGCTTCATAGACAAAAATTGAAGTGAACTTAGGGATCCATAACATGACTTTTTATGAGTGATGAATAAACATTCAAACACAGGAATAAATTTTCTATGATACTTATAAATCAAGACCATTATAGTGAGCTTTTAATATGCAACCATCAAACAGAAGCATATCTCTTAAGAATAATTTATGTTCATGCAATCAATCGAGGAAAATGAGAAAAAAGACAAAGATACTCAATCCAGTATCCAAATCGTGCACGTGATCAAGGTCTAAAAGAACTGAAACTCCTATTCAATTGTATCCCAAACCATTTATTTGGTCAAGTTCCTTGGTTCCTCCCAATACACGGGACAAGAGAATATCATTTGACAACAATGGCTAAATAAATCTGTTTCACAACTTTAAGAAACTAAGTAGCCAACTGCAAAATGGTGAAATGCACTACTTTAAAAGTTCAAAGAGACAGCCATGACTTTGAACTACCATAGAGTGAAGAATGCATATACAACATTCAAGAATTTCTTTTCAAAAACAAATTTTTTAAACTTGTCAAAAATAAATAAATGTTCAGCCCTTTTTCACTTTAGAACTCGAACCAACTAAATCTTGAATAAAACACATTATAACGCACGCACTCAGATATGCAAGATCGTTAAAAAATTTATTTTCTAAATAAATGTCATTGCTTTTATTTTCGACCGCAGATTTTGCTCTTTCCTTCGGTTTCCAACTCCAAAGGTAAAAAAAAATGCAACACCGGATACATTTTGGCTAAAAATCTTATACTACTTATTTCTCTATCTTTCACGGTACATTTTCCTTAATGATATCAACACACCTTTCTCTGGAAAAAAGGAGCCCTAAAACAATTGAGTCATTGACAATTCAAAGTTTACTCCATTTTTTAACCAAACAAACTACCAATACATTATTAAGTCATCTTCAAAAATAGAAATAAAACCTAGGAAATAACCAATTCGAGCAAGATTAAAGAGCGAAATCTCCAGAAATGAAAAAAAATATGGAGAAATTTAAAAAGGAAAGAGAAAGGGATAGACCTGGAGAGGGAGATCGACTTGAGAGAGGAGATCGGAGGAGTGTCCAGGCAAAAGGCTTAAAAGAGCGGAGAGTGTTGTCTCGGAGTGGCGAGGCGGCATTCTTCGCATCAGTCCCAGCGCTGCCTCCATGTTCTTTTCCGTTGTAATTTCCCCCCTCTCGTCCCAACTAAACTTATTATCGTAGAATCCAAACAGGGAAAGGAAGTGAAAGCAGATTATGCTCTCTCTTTTTCTTTTTATTTGGATTGAGTTCAATGAGAAAGAGACATAGATCTTAGCAGCAGTTTGAATTTGACAATTGAGGAGAATTTTTTAACATGAAAATGCAAAGAAAAGGAAAAGAAAGGTGTGGCTTATTTGATCCGAGTCTCTCTCGCGGTAAGGTACCCCTCTGTTTATTTATTACACCAATTATAGTATATAATTTAATTTGAGGGCATTCTATAATTATTTGCTTAAAATATTTACTCCATTGTTTTATTAGTTAATATAAAATTGGATAAGATCTCATAATATATATTACCTAATTATATCGCTTTTAAAGTTTTCAAAACTATTCATTCAAAAAATATTTCAAAAGTGTCATTTTTAGGATTTTATATATATATATATATATATATATATATATATATGATATTTAAATTAGATATTTTTTCTTAAAGTAGTATTTCAAAAAATACTTTTTAAACTATTATTTTATCAATGTTATTAACTTATGATATTTAAGTATTTAACTTAGATATTTTTTTCTTAAATTAATATTTATAAAAATATTTTTGAATTAATGTTATTAATTTTTGATAATGTGACAATATAAATTTTTATCATACATGATTACAATGTTAATTTTTAAATAAAATTATTTAATATTTTTAAAATTTTTAAAAATATACAATTATAAAATATAACTTTTATATAAAATTAAGGTTAAAGTACACAAATGATCCCCGACTATGTTGAGTCTCTCAAATATTAAAACAAAATAGTCTCGATTATAAAAGTTATGAGTTTGGAACAAAGCAAGTTAACGTATAGCTCAGACCGCTGTTAATTTTTAACGAAAAATGATGAGTTTGGAACATAATAAATAGTTAGACGACCATTTTGTAACTTTTAATAGTTGAGGGACAAAGCAATTCCCTATAGTTAGAGGATCATTTTGTCACTGTTAATAGCCGAAGAATCAACAAATTAGTATTATATAATCGGGAGACTATTTATATACTTTACCCTAAAATTAAATAAACCTCATAAATTTAATTCTACGATACTTAAATTTTAATTCTTTTTATATAAATTCTAAAAATCTAATTATAAGTATGGATTTAAAACTAAAAATTCGTAACAGACTGTTATCATAATAAATCAAAGAAAAAATTTAAAAAAAAAGTTCTCATCTGTTGACACCCGTTTTTGTACGGGTCTTTTATTTTCTTTTTAATTTTGTTTTTTATTATTATATTTATTATTTTTAATTTACATATATTTTACATATTTTGCAAGCTTGAAAATGGAGCCCAAATACAATCACCCAAGACCCCGTCCACCCGAAGCCCAACATGTGAGCAAAGCCCAGTACTGGAGCCCAAAAATACAACCCAACAACAGTGAACCGTCCAACAAACTGACCCAACTAAGCTGGACCCATACCCGACTCAAAACTTAGGGTTTTAAACCTTAAAATAGATTAGGGTTTTAACTCTAATCCCCTAGCTCAATAACCACGCCGCCTCTTCAACTTCCCAACTGCCGAGCCGTTCAAGCCAAGATGTCCCATTGCCGCCGCCGTCCTTCCCTGCACCAACAGTGATCGGTTTCTGTCAAAAATCTATCCACATTGATAGAAATAAAATATCACACCAAGTCAGAACAAATCTACAACAAATCTTATCCTAGAACCTATGGTATGATTTCCCTACAAACTGAGCACAAATCCATCAATCTTCTCGGGAATAAAAGAAGATATCTATCGCATGCAAGAGGGGGGAAAATCGATACGAACCAAATAAAAAAAGGAAGCAGGGAGATGGGGACCCCATTCGGTAAGGGTTTTAAAAAAAGAGATATTTGGGTTAAAAAAATCAGAGAGATTCGAATCATAAAAAGAAAAAAACTCACCTTGTGGAAGGATTCAACCACCTTCACTTTACCGGAGCCACCATATTCATGTTTCGAAGGTAATCATCATCTTTAGTTTAGGGTTTGAAAGGGGTCAAGGGTTTCAAAGTTTTTAAGTGGTTTTAGAACAAAGAAGAAGAGAGGAAAGCAAGAGAGGTTTTTGGGTGGTCGTTTTAAGCGTCGATCATCGTTGGAAACGCCGTGAAGCGGCGACCTTTTGTTGGGTCGGGGAGAGAGTTTCATAACTCTCTCCTTTTTTTGGGTCTGCTGGTGAGAAAGGGAGAAATGGGAGATGAGTGGGTTTCTCAACCCTAAATGGGGTATATAACCCACAGTTAAAATGACGCCGTTTGAAGGGGTTAGGCTTGTGTGTTTTAGGGTTAGGGGATAACTACACTTTAGGTCCCTTCATCCTTGTAATCTTGCTATTTTGTCATGGAATGAAGCTTTAGATTATTTTGTTTTGAGCACTCATATTTCAACATTTATATTTCAGTCACCATATTACATGTTATTCCATTTTTGTTAATGTTTGACTATGGTAACAACTTTTGTAAATCTTTCATTTTGGTCACTGTTTTACTTTTGGTTTAATTATTATTCGGCCTTCATGTTTCTATTTTAATGTGATTTAGTCCTAAGTATTATTTATGGGTTATTTATATTTCCAGTTCATGTATTATTTAATATTTTCAATATGGGCTCTGTTCTATTTTTAATTATTGTTTATCCATCAAATGAAATTTGTAATGTTTTGTTTTGGGCACACATTCTTTCTCATTTATATTTAAGTCACTATATTATATATTACACTATTTTCGTTTATGTTTGACTCTAGTTTTAATATTTGTAAGCCTTTCATTTCAATCACTGAATGTAACCTTACTTTCTTTATAATTAGTGTTTTTAATGTATGTTGTTTACATTTCGGTCACTATTTTGGTATGGCTACCTTTAGGTAAAATTATTGATTGTCATTACGAATTTTTGTTTCATATCATTTTAGTCCCTCATATTATTCATGGTTTATTTATGCTTTTAATACCTTCATTGTTTAATTTGTTGATTATTTCCATGATCATTGTCAATATTATTGTTTAATCACTCAAGTTAGTAATAATATTATTTTGATCCTTTTAATAAGCAAATATGTTTAGTTTCTTTTGTTGATACTATAGTCTCCATTGATTCCATGATTTTATTTTGGTCCTTTATAGCATACTTTATTGTATAGACATATTCCATTGTACTATGTTTATCAGGTATTTTATAATAATTATGTATCAAATATGTATGTATGTATATATATACGTCAAACAAATATGTCAATTAAATTTGCCCCTTATTATTTGTGTATATATATTATTATATAGATGTATTATTTTTATATATTTATATTTCATTTCATTTCATTTCATTTCATATTTATTTTTATTTATTGTTTATTTTATTCTTTACTATATTACTATCTAAATATTCCAAGAACTCTTATTTGTAGAACGGACGTAGAAAGTATCACTTGATCGAAGTGGTACAATCTAATACGACGTTCGAACTAAATGGAACTTGAAATAAATCAATTTTTAGTTTGTTAATTGTTAATTCATTTTTATTTTATACTGAACAATGTGAATTATGTATTTTATTTTTCGTAACTGTCAATTTGTAATTTATATTCGATATGCATCTCTTACATATTCGATGATTGAATATTCTTTAACGATGAAAAATGGTTGAAATAGCTTTCCTTACGGAGGATTGCAAATTTCAAGATTTTTTTATCAAGTTAAAGGATTTTCTTTAAATTGTTAATTTGAAGCAAATTAATCAATGTTCGATAAATGGATCACATTTTAACTTTATATTTGATTTATACTTTCCACCATTAATACAACGTGTAAGCGACACAATACCAATTTTGGGCGCTGTGGGGATGTTTATCCTTCCCCACGCGTAACTGACTCTCGAATTGTTTTTAATCGAATCTTTGGTAAACGCATACCATTTTTGTCTTAAAATGATTTTTCTTAAAATTGTTTTTAAAGTCGTTTTTAGGTATTCGACCTACCTAACCCAAAGGTCGATGGCGACTCCTTTTAATTTAATTTCAAATTAATTCCAAATCACCAATTTTTCCAAAATAAAGTCATAATCATTTTTTAAAATAATAAATAATTATTTTACGAAAAACGGTTATGACAGCTTGGCGACTCCGTTGGGGACCTCTTTTTTAGAGAGTCAAGCTGTAGGTCGCTTACACATTGTCGTTGTGGTCGAAATTATGAGTTTGAGTCTTTAGTCAACTTATGATCCATTTATTGAAGTTTTTAATTGCTTCATTGTTTACTAACATTTGAATTTTTGCTTTCAGGATCAATCTAAGTTTTTGTCGAGTTTTATCTCTTTTTCATTTTTGAGTCGAAGGTAGGTACGCTCTTCCTTACACACATCACGTGTATTTTCATAACATGAGCTCTAGACATGAGCTTCGATCCAAATTAGTCAGGGTGATTGCTTTACTCTCATAAGAATTTATTCTTCGTATGAGTTTTAGCAAATAACCCATGAGATACATACTTTATACCTTCGTAGGTATTTATTCATCGTATGGGTATAAGGCAAAAAATCCCCTCGAATTGAACTCGTTTCGTTCGAAACCTGTAATGGGTGAGGATCGAGGGTCTGACAGCCCAAGGGGGCACCGACATCAAGGATAATTCAAGTTCCCTTTTCCTGTTATAGCTGAAACCATGCATATAGTGAACCGTAGAACGGTCACCCTATGTATAGTCATATTGAACCTTTGTCCGTCAATAGGTACCCAAAATAGGTGTACATAAAAGATGAGCATTTCTAAACCCTTATCTTTTGCTTTAAGTTCGTAGAATTTGTTTTCTTTTTGAATAAAAGCATGCGAACTAGATATCATGCGGTTAGGATTATCTTCTTGAAATTAATCATTTTGGGTGGATATCATGTCCGGGTAGGATTGCTATTTAATTAAAGCATGTTCGGGTAGATATCATGACATGGTAGTTGTTATATTCATCTTTGAATAACATTTTTATTTATATCTATTGTCTTACTTTTACTAACTAATCCCTTTTGTTTGTGTGCACTAACTTATTTCTTTCCTGTTGTTTGTCATTTTTCATTCTTCTTTGTATTGCATTGCATCGTCATGACATAATGCAAGAGTGTTGTTCCGCAAGGGGATATTCGAGAGAAAATTTTTACAAGAAGTGGTAAAAGTTTTCAATCAGGCTGTCACATACGCA